CGATTTCTGTGTCCTTGAACTTAATAGACTTTCTTCCATTCGTTCGTTTGCATTGGCTACGTGTAAGAAGCCAGACCTCCTGCTGTGGATGTCCTCGTCGACGAAAAATATAGTGCGCCACGAGAAATAATTGAAATTAGGAAGTTGCAGAGTTTGTGCCTAATGTAAAAATTCGTTTTTTTTATAAAAAATATATTGATTTAGTTTTATGTGATAAGTATTGTTTGTTTTCAAAATTCGAGTCTTGAATGTATGATACGTAGTCGCCACATGTTTCCGGCTCGTGCTGTGTGGCGACCTGTGTTGGTTAGCTTTTCGAGATATTTCGGTGTTTTTTTGTGCTTTTTTGTTGCAGATTGTATCACGATTGGAGCAAATGAATGCGCGGAGTTGGGCGCAAAGATGCATGCTCCTTGTTTCACGCCAGCGACAAGAAGACTTAATCCGTATTGCCCAGGAAAATTGAAGAAATGCAGCGTGAAGGAGACTTGAAAGAGGATCTGTTCTTTTGCTCACAGCAGAAATGCTGGAATCTGAGCAAATACAGTTTTAAGTAGCTTTTATAATTTTAAATTACACATTAATGACTGTTATTGTTGCAAATTGATTAAAAGTGTAACTAGGAATTATGGTATTTAGGTATTATAAAGAACGATAATGGAATTGAGGAATCCTAGGAAGAAAAGAAATCGAAAGAGCGTGTGTATTAGACAAGTGGACGATTTTCGGGCAAAGGTATCATCAGAAAAATTATTACGGGTATGTGTGAAAAGGGTAAGTTTATAATTATATTTAATTACTTGACCAGTAATTTCTATTGAAGTTCCTGTTTGAATTGATGATCATTCTTATGCAGGTCACATGTTGATTAGATTCTTTGATCGTGGAAGTGAGAAAAAATGAGGATGTGGGATTCTGGTAGCCAAAAAATTTGAGAAAATTATTATTGGAGATGGGAATTTCATGGTCGAGAAGACGGACAATCGAGGGCCTTGATAGAAAAAGAGCGGTATTATGCTCATAGATAAAGTATTTCGCAAGTATAAAAATTTGAAAGATGTTAGATAGTAATTTTGTTTTCTAGATGAGACTTGTTTTTTTCGAAAGGTAATTTGCAGAACTATAATGTGTGTACTTTATTTAAGCACTTCACAAATTGATATTGATATTTGTTACAACGTTTTTTGTTAGTTATGCTTACCAAGACTTGGCAAGCCGTATTTCAAGCTGGTGTGAGGAAAGAATCTGAGTGAAGGAAGCGTTATATAGTTTTACATGCAGGAGGTAAGAAGGGTGGATGATGCAGAACTAGTGTTTCCATATCTCTCTCTTGGAGACTTGTCTTGGCGCATGTGAGTGGCGCATTGATTTGGCTCTGGCACTAGCCAGGACAGCTAGGCGCTCTGAGATGGGAAAGGAACTGGCCCAGACATTATATGGGGAGGTTACAGAGAGGATACATTGCGTTCTGGTGGCCCAAGGACGTACTTAGTATTGTTTTGACACAGTATAAATACAATTATTGAATTGTAACTTAATATCTGCAACTTGGTGAAAGTACGTCGGAGGTATGTGCGGCCGAAAAGCTAAAAAGGTGTGGCCCGCTGTTACAGAAAGGCTACCTACCCATGCTATAATCGGAACTAACCAGGCGCTTTCTTCCTGATTCATTGAATTTAAAAAATGACACGAATATTTGCAATTGAAATATATCTTTACTTTTGTATCTACATCACAGAAATGGTGGGTTTGAATTTGACACGGCCATAATGTCTTAACTTTCTTTATTCAGAAACGTCACAAAGAGTAATTTCAGAGAAAGAGACAGAAACGTGTAGAGAATGTGGTCAACCTTTTCATTAAGCGAAATACGTGTAATACGAGAAACGGATAAGCTTAAATGAGAGACATGATCATTCAACTGGTTATAAACATAGATATCTTGCTAGGCTTGAAGGAAATATTACACGGA